GGGCACCCTGCTGGACACAGCCAGACCTGCTCTCTCCTGCTGGCCTTGGGCAGGACCACAGAGAAGTGTTCATCTGGATAGTGTCCATGGCTGACTGGGGTGGCCTCCAGGTCCACGTGGCTACCCCTCAACCCTGGGATCTGAAGGGAATTAGAATCAATGGTGTCCAAAGTGTGGGGCTGGGGACTTCTAGTAATCAGAATTCAGTAGATCTAATACTCTGAAAGAATATGGACTTGGACTCCTGGGTGTGAGGGAGGAAGAGGCTGGGGGCCTGGACTCCTGGGTGTGAGGGAGGAGGGGCTGGGGGCCTGGACTCCTGGGTGTGAGGGAGGAGGGGCTGGGGCCTGGACTCCTGGGTGTGAGGGAGGAAGGGCCCGGATCCAGACTCAGCAAGGACACAGGGCCTGTCTGCCACCCCCTGCAGGCCAGTTTGGAGCGGGCACCAAGTCCTACTTCTTGCTGCTGCGCTTCCTGCTGTTTCTCAACGTGTTGGCCTCAGTGCTAAAGGCCTGCATGACGCTGCTGCCCACCTGGCTGGACGGGGGTCCCATGGATCCCCCTGACCCTGGCCCTTCCTCGCCCTGCGGCTCCTATGACCCCCGCCCCCAGGGCCTGATTACCTTCCCCTCCCAGCTCTTCAACCTGCTCTCTGGAGAGGTGAGTGGCCAGGCCCCCCTCTGGGAGACGCTCTCTGAGGCGCCAGACCTCAGGCTCTGATTGCCCAGCTCCCCGATCTCCGCCCACCAGCCCCACGGTGACCCCTGCTGCACCCTTCCCTCCTCAGGGCTTTTTAGAATGGTCCCCTCTCTTCTATGGGTTCTACCCGCCACGCTGGCGCCTGGCCGTCACCTACCTGTGCTCCACCTTCACCGTCGGCCTCCTGTCCCTGCTGCTCATCCTGCGCCGGTCAGTGACATGACACCTGCACACCCAGACCCCCCTTCCAGGAATCCCGAGCCTCGCTCTGTGATTCCTTTCTCTCTGAGTTGAAAGCCATGTTTAAAATGCTTTGTAAGTGCTCAGGGCCAGGGATAAAGATGGGAAGCCGCCCCTCCTGTGGCTAGTAGAGCAGGCATACTATTAACAAGGAAGCAAACTGGCTACAGCTTCTCAAAAAGGGAGAAGTGCCAAATAGGAAACAAATGGCGGTCGTTCATTCATTCGTTCATGCGGCAAGGATTTATTGAGCAGCTGCTATGTGCCGGGCATTGTTCTAAGCAGCTGGCAAAAGAGACAGTAGAACAAACAGTGCAAAGGCCCTCAGGTGGCAAGAGGTTTGGAGTGATCTGAAAAAAGAACGGCCAGGAGGGGAGGGAGGAGGGACAGGATTTGAGCTTGGAGAAGTAGGGTCCAGATCAGGTGGGCTCTGGCTGGCTATGCTATGAAGGAGCCTAGATGTCATGAACAGGCGAAGCAGGGGAATCCCATCTGATCTGCGTTAAAAAGAAGGTTCTGCCCGGCCGGTGTGACTCACAGGGTTGAGCGATGACCCCTACACCAAGAGGTCATGGGTTCTATTCCCGGTCAGGGCACATGACCAGATGTGGGCTCCATCTCCAGCAGGGGGCGTGCAGGAGGCAGCCGATGGATGTTTCTCTCTCATCGATGTTTCTATCTCTCCCCATCTCTGAAATAAATACATATTTTTAATATTTTTATTGATTTCAGAGAGAGGGAGAGATAGAGATATCAATGATGAGAGAGTCATGGATCAGCTGCCTCCGGCACGCCCCCTGCTGGGAATCGAACCCGCAACCCGGGCATGTGCCCTGACCAGGAATCAAACCTCCATCTCCTGGATCCTAGGTCGATGCTCAACCGCTGAGCCACGCCAGCCCGGCTAAAAACATATTTTTTGAGACTTTTTTAAAAAGCAGGTTGTACTGGCTCAGGAACAGAGGCTGGCTCCTGAGGCGCAGGGGGGAGGAAGGAGCCCAGGTAGACGCCCTCTGTAGTCGTCCTCTTGGGCGATGGCGGGGCTCGCCCCAGGGCGCCGAAGGTGGAGATGGAGTCCCTCCGCCCAGCTTTCTGTCCCTTTCCTTTTCTCTGCTCTTGTCCCGCTTCCCCAGGTCTTCGCCCCTCTCCAGCCTCTTGACATGCAGCCCCCACTTCTCTGAGCCCCCCCTTCTCGGGGTGACTGAGCCTCCCTCTGAGTCTCTGGCAGCCTTTCTAGAGCTTTCCTCCTTCGTCGAGCCTTTTCCTCTGCACCTCTGGCCCTCTGGGGCCTAGACCCCGTACATCTCTGCTCCCGGGGTCTCTGTCCCTCTCACCCTGCGCCTGTCCCCTGGGTCTCTGTATCTCTGCAGGGTGTCCCATCCCCTCTGGGTCTCCCTAGGAGTCTCTCGGTGGCTCTAAGGACTCTGCCTTTCTCCACCAGGTGGCAGCTCGCCAAATGCCCAAGACTTAGGGTGTATTTTCCCTGTTAGTCACCCCGCCCCCCGCCCCCGCTCTGACTGTCCTGCCGCACCCCGTCTCCTGGGTCGCCCCTCTTTTAGCTCGGTGTCCGGGCTGAAGCAGACGCTGTTGGCCGAGGCCGGAGTCCTGACCAGCTACAGCCACCGCGTGTTCTCCGCCTGGGACTTTGGTCTCCGCGGGGAGGCCCACGTGCGGCTGCGCCAGCGCCTCATCCGCTTTGAGCTGCAGGTGC